AACCAGCACATCGCCGACCTGCCATCTGGTGTGACAAACATCCAACTTGCATGGTAGACGAGACTCATAGTTGTATGAGTATGCATAGAGCGAGATACATACAAATACATCAAATACACCTCAAACAAGCCAAGAAACTAGCCATCTGAAGGTGAACGTGTACTGTCGCAAGCCTCAGTGCTGTGACTACCCAGAATCGGACTCAAGACTACCCATTTGGGTTTGCCCTAGCTCACTTCAAGACCCAAGAATTGGTTGGCTCGAATTACAAGAAACATAAAGAAACACAGATCATATCATGTTCTTGGTTGTGTTTGAGCCAGGTCATCTCCAAGCCAGGTCCGCGTTTTCGGAGCCTTGCGGAGCTTTGTGGAGCTGTGCCAAAAAGGGTGTGGAGCTGTGCCAAATGGGTGCCATGAAAAACGGTGTCAATGTGGGTGAGCGAGAGTCAGCGGAGTCGGCGGTCACCAACGGTGCAACGTGTGGGCAGGTGCGGCGTGTCGTGAAGTGTCCAGTAGTGGTGGGGAGCCTTGATGCAGTGACAGTGTCATCTGGTGATGTGGTGCCAGTGGTACGTTACCCTGCATGGAGCAGCGTCAAACGAAGCAAGGCAGCGAGGCATAGCAAAGGAGGAACATCACAAAAAGGGTTCAATTACGCTGCATTGTAGATATATATATATATATGGAAATGAAATCATGTCCTATATAGATTCCGCATATATAGTCGTCTTCACGCATCTGAATCATCACTTCAAAAAAGGCTCGGTTACCTGCCGAATCAACCAAGTGCTTCAGATCCTCTTGAAGGACAGCAGTGCTCAGCCATGTCCAGGTTTCTTGAGTGCGACGCTTGTTTAAAGTGCTGCGGCCGTGTGCTCCCCCAAAGTGAGAACCAGACCTTGTATGACTTGGCAAAGACCCTGGGCGCAGGTCCGGGCGGAATCGTGGCGTGTCCCCTTCCTTTAGCTGTGTGTTCTTTTGCTGACTCCCAGTGAATGCACTGAGGAAATCCGCACATTGGGACCAGAGTGTCCTGTGTGCCATCGACGCGCGCCTGACCGTCCGATGAGTGTGATATATATATATATATTGTAATCTATTATATATGAGCTGATATTTGCCTAGGATTATGATCTGCCGATCTCTTGCATCTTTCTACAATGGCTGTCCGTCCACGATACAGCAAGTCTACGGGACTTGGAGACCGGCTAATCGGCGGCACAAGAGGACGTCCGCTGATGTCATGTGAGTCACAAGCAAAAAGGGACTTTGGGGTCTGCACAAAAAGGGTGGCGAGTGTGCAAACAGTAATGGCTCAAAAATGTGGTGCCATCTGCATATTGGCTAAAGCGTGTGCCTCTCAGTCATACTTTTTGAGCCACATCCAAACATCATTCAGCAAATCCAAGACTCCTTTGATCAAAAGACTGGACACGTCAGATCTCACACAGGATTCAAATACCTCTTCGCTGCCAAACCACAGGCGAATGCACTGAAGAATGATGCCCCTATCACACATGATCAGCTCGCCGTCTTCATTTAGATGATTTGTCCGGCAGCAGTGAGAATCAGCATTCTTCATTGAGAAGTTCTTGAGCTGACTGCAGCATTCGTTGATCCATCAGAAATATCCCCGCAGCCAATGGATACCAATCCCGCAAACAAAGAACATCACAGATGTTACCGCCAGAATGGTCTGCATGCGGCCACCATAGTTAATGACAATACCTTTTTCAGTGGCAGGATGTCAGAAAACATGACATGTGAAGGAAGGAGGGAAAATAAATCAGCAAGGCTGTTCAATAGCTTGGATACTCATATTGATAACCGTCGCAGAAAGAAAGATTGCCACCGCCGTTGGACCCAAAAAGGTAGACAGGATGATCAAGCAGGAAGACACTCCAGCACGATCTCCATGACTCTTCAGAAACCCGGCAATCTCGAAGATGGTCCAAAGCCTGGAAAAGGCTAAAGGAGTTGGCTGTGTGTTTTTCACTTGTTTGTGAATCATGTCAAAACAATAACAAAATCGAAGTTTACCTTTGGAGTCGTTTTTTTGTTAAGCGTTTTTCCATGCAGACTCACTGCTGACCGCGTGTTCCCTGTGCCTTGTAATGTAGCTCGGCTCGAACAAGACCAGCATGCTTTCCGAATGTCTCAGAATCCTCGTCAGAGTCATCTTGGAGATCTCACCTGTGCTCAAGTGGAAAACTGTATGTTTGTTATTTGTTGATATAGGGGCTAGCCTGTTTTTGTGGACCGATGATCAAATCATGTTTGACATCAAGGAATTGCATGGGTATGGTGACGGATCAAAATTGGAATCCTCAATTGATCAGCAACAGCAAATCAACACGCCCTTTCAACCCAATGCAAAGTGGTTCTTACCAGTCACGCGTGGTTCCTACAAACAGTCCACACGAAACCTAGGTAAGTATATAACAAAATTGATCCAACACCGACAGCACACCGAAGTTTGAATCATTGGACAAAAAGAGGGTCAACATCCTGATTGGTGTCATACACGTTTAGGTCACTGCCCTACGTAGATGGTCAGTGGAGTTCTCGCAAGACGACCCAAGCGGTCAAATACAGAGTATCTGCAGTGGTATACAGTCAAATCAAATGCAACCATGTTGGTGAAACTTATATAACACTTGTCAATCACACTTGAGACATCTTTGCCGTCTCACACAAAAGCAACATGGGTCTTCGACGGTCTTCATCTGAAGATCCGGTCTGTGAAACAAAAAATAACCGACAATTTCAAAACAGTGTGTCTAAAGCTCTAAGGTCTAGAGGTGTAGAAGCCGGGGAAGGTCTAGAGATCCAGCCGTATTGGGCTCCAAAGAACTGCGCTGGTGGTCATGATGGTGGCGATGATGGTGGTGACGGTGGCGGTGATGATGGTGGTGGCGGTGATGATGGTGATGCTGGTGATGCTGCTGCTGCTGGTGGTGGTGGTGGTGGTGGCGGCGTTGACGGTGGTGATGGTGATGATGGTGGTGATTGTCATGGTGGTGCGATGGTGGTGCTGGTGGTTGTGGTTGTGATGGTGGCGATGATGGTGATGGTGGTGGTGGTGATGATGGTTGTGGTGGTGATGGTGGTGATGGTGGTTGTGCTCGTGATGGTGGCGGTGATGGCGGTGACCGACAAACAAGGTTTGAATTGAAGGTCCAGGTCCACAGTTCTTGAAGTGCAGATTTCGTGGCAGGCGCAGCACTTCCTCCAACTTCTGAAAACGAGCCACAAGTCCAAAGGTCACGATTCACTGCACCAGCCACGAAATCAGAGCGCACCGAAGACTACCAGACTACCACAATGTCAAAAGCGGTGCCCCTGCCACGACATCTGCACATTGAAGTACGGTCGCTCCAATCTCCTGGACCTGCCACGAAAAGTCGACTTTGATCACCAAGTCCAAAAAAAATCACAGCACCACAACAAGAGAACACTCGCGCCCAGCAGATTCGCAGTCGAAATGCACCTTGAAGATCAGCCAGACACGGATGCGCTCACCTCCGATCAAACACCCAGCCTTAATCATTCCCGTAAGAACCCATAGTGTAGCCAAACGGTTTGGGGAAACATACACTTCCCAAGTGGCTCGCAAAATCGTGAATCTGCAGCTTCCAGGTGTCTTGCTTCTCAAACTCTTCTTCTTCCGGATTGACTGCGGGAAGCTGCAGCTGTACCAAGCGAGGAGCCATGGCAACTGAACGGGCGATTCGGTCGGACCGACGCCTGAACTTTTTTGGTGAGTTTGTTTTGGATATGTGCCTAATGATTCTTTATAAATTCACTGCACGTTGCTTATTCTTGCACCGCTCAGTTTGACAAAATTATCATGCATTGTATTGGGGAGTTTACCCAACATCTGAACGTTTTCCAAATGAGGTCAGCACAAAGCGCTGAGGCCCGCTTCCCCATGAGCCGAACGAGGCAAATTCATCACCCTGAGGCTCTGCGAAGCCCACACGAGTCGATTGAATCCTTTTTTGCTGCTTCATCTTGGAGGCTGGACTCATCGTTTGTTTAGGTAGGTTTCAACATGAGCTACTTCCCATCCCGACACAAATGATTCCGATATCGGTTCTGAGAGTCAAACAATAGAATAGTTATTCCTGCTTCTTTTTTGCGCATATGTTCGCCAACAACAACACTGCTAGGATTCGAGAGACCTTCAACGCGTGGATTTGTTCACACTGGGCACTGAAGGTTTATGTTGCTTAAGTTCCGGCTTCAAGTCTTGTTGCTACGTAAGAGCTATTAAGAATCTGAGCACACCGGTGCAAAAGCCACAAATACGTATATAACCCTTTGCTGGATTCCGGTCACTCTTCTGGATGTAAAATCGGTGGATGAGGTTCATCCGTAACCAGTATCTGTGACCAAATCCAGGCTGAAGATTCAAAAAGGTTTTAACAAAAAAACACATGACCCCATGACATTCCTTTCTGCCTCAAAAAAACCTGTCTTGGAATTACTTGAAAATCCTTGAAACATCATATATAACTTATAGCAACATAAAAAATACTACAATGAAGAAGTAGATACAACGACTCTTTGAGGTCTCCTCACAAAGCCAATACTATTTCTAGGAACAATCCGATAGTTGATATTGGTTGGTTTCCTATTACAACCGACCCACCGACCCACGGTCTGGATGGATCCGGAACTTGCCCGACCATTCTTGCTTCAGTGAACCCGAAGAAGACATGCATTTTCAGACCACGCAACCTGTCAACCTGCTGGCAGCTTTGTTTTGACAGGCGGGCAAACAGAATCGACTGGCTCCTGTCATCCGATGATGAAACGGTGTGGCGTCCGAAAAGCGTGCGGAGGGTGCCTCCTTCGGAGGTCCAAAAACAACCGCCCAGCGGAGGTCCGAGCACGATCTATGTATTGAAAAATGATGCTGCAGAAAATGGTCGCGAAAATCCGAAAACCACAGTCTTTCATGAATTCCGAAGGTTCCTGTCCAAGACATTTGTGCGGTTCTACAGTTGGCAACTCCACTTTCTGCTACAGCGGTTCTCTGGGTCTTCACAAGAGACTCATCCAACTTCCAGGTGAGCCAAGTGCCATCTGGCCCAAAGCCGTCGAGCCCAAATCGTCACCAGGGCCACGACCAATAACCAAAGGCCGGTGCCCAGCAAGTCATCTTTCAGTTGGCCAGAGAACACCTGCAGCGCTTGGTTGACCCTGCCTCTCCTGGTCTGTTTTTGCTTGCTATATTTTGGTGGTTGAAGCGTTTGAGGATGTTCGAGATGCAACTCTGTGCCCCAGACAGGTATGCGCTGTGCTCAGTACCCCAGAGAAGTGTCCTGAGGTGTCCTTTATGAAGGTCACTGAGTTTAACTCGCCCTCACACATGTGACATGAGGCTCTGCCACCCATCTTTGGGCAGCTTATAGTGCTTATAATGACATGGTATGAGTCATCTGGTTAGACTGCAGAACCATTTAATACTAGTCTGGTGGAACTCTTCGTCAGAAGCGATACACGAGAGTTTGACTGACTGATGTCACCGTTCCTTGGGGAAAAACATGGTTAATCTACGTGATTTCATGGGAATTCAAAAGGTTTCTTGGCACTGCAGTGAAGCAAACCTTTAGTCACATGTCACGAAGAATTAGCATCCCTTTAATGAACTTGAAAGTGGACAACCCTAGTCTCTAGAGGAAAAGTAACAAATGAACTCTTGGAAGAAAAGTCTCCATGCAAGGAAACACCATCTGATGGCCTCAACACCCCATGCTCTCAATCAGTCTCACATCGTTCATACTCAAGCAATCCACCAACACAGTAAGAAATGATATCATTAGTGCTGTCATTAGGGACAATCCCTAGATTGATGTTGGAAAGATCTCAGCAATTCCATATCATACCTGTACGTAGGCCTTTCAACACTGCCATCTGGCCTTTCAACACTGCCAAGAAGCTATACGGAGCAAATGGAGAGGCAAAACCAAGGCCACCTATTCTTCGGTCCAGTTCTGCGGATTCGAACTGCAAAAGGATCAATCTGAACGGGAGAAACATGTGGAACAGCTCTGTCTGCTACAACAAGTCACCACATTTGGAACATGCTCTGTCTGAAATGGGAGAAACATGTGGTCCAAGCCACTACAAGTACAGCCGCCATCAGAGTCACCATGTGGTCCAAGCATCGATTGACTCTTCGCCGACCTCGTGTTTTTGTGGGGTGTCCAGTACAGGAGTCAGGACGAGTCTTCCAAGGTTCATCGAATTCAATCTGGAACAGGGTTTCTTGCTGGTTTCTTATTTGTCTTCCAAATGTCGGGCATCCTACACATGCAAGCAACCTGACCTGTGCACTCTAACACGAACACATCGATTTTGAAACATCGGGATCGCGGTCGGAAAGCTTCCACAACCTGAAATGATGATGGCCAACCAACCTGTTCACCACCTGTTCGTAGAGGAAGATGGCCAACCAACAAGCCATGCCTTCCACGTAACCATGATGGTCTCAGGGAGGGTAGATATCTATAGAAGATCAAGGGATTCACAGATCTTGCTGCACCAACACCGTGGGAGGCCATATTAATATATAGGTCCATTTCCTGTAAAACCTTACGTGCCTGGGAATGACAGTTCTGATTTGGGGGATGCAAGGTCCACAGCGAGAGCCAGTCTAGAGTTGAGGTTAAACATGTGATTATATAAACCATTATAAACCCATTCCGACCACCCAAAATCAACATGGGCACCTGAATGGCAAGGGACAATAGAGAAACAACCATGGACCACGGATATCAGGATTGCTGCAGGGCGGATAGAATGCTAAGATTCCGATCGAAAGTGGATCGATTCGAAGGAGTTAGCGTCCAAGCCTAAGGGTCTAAGGCTTCTCTGGGCCCAGAAACATTCTGGCCAAGCAGCGAAGTTTCAAAGAGACCATGAGGCAAAATAGAGCACACAAGGGGATCATGCATAACCACCACCTCGAAATCGGGCGAGAGAAGACAGGCCCTGCGGATCGAACAGTGTGGCACCGCCCCCAGCAACAATCTGTCGACTGAGGTCAGCAAAGCTCCCATTTTCAAGAACCACAGCACTATGTGGTCACTATGTGTGACGATCTGTATTGATGCTTCACTCTACGATGAAGACAGCATGAGCAACTGACAACTCTGCGCATTCTTCTCAACTGTGCAATTCCTACAAATGCTCGACGGATGTGCTCTTCCCAACTCTGAGCGTCAAATCCTACTTTTGAAACGGGATCCAAGTAAACCCATATTTTCCCGGCACGCCTCGGGTTTTGCCATTGGACACACGAAAAACTAACACTCAAATGTGTTCCTCAAGCAATAATGTAAAGATTACACTAAACTGTTTTGGAATCCAGCAAAACTTGTGCTTCTTCTCCTCTTTCTGCGGATGTTCTGGCGGAGAGACATGACAGATTCCGCGGAAAAATCCCTTCAACACAGCAAACCTGAAATCCATGCAAACTGCTTTCTTGCCACGGGATGTTATTTTGTATACTGCTCAGTTTTACAGTCTTCGTGAGGACTCACACGAGCGTCATTTCTGACCTGCAATACCTTCTTGTGTCATTTGCGGATCCAACTCTAGCAAATGCATTGAACCATCAATTCCTTATGACAACACAACATGGTTTACCAGATCGGCCATACAAATGTTAAATGATGTGTTCCAATGTGTTCTACTTACTTCCCCTACTTCGAGGATTAATAAAGAAACATGATCCCCATCTGACTTTCCCTAGCCACTCCTAACCCAAATAGAACGAGGCACCCCAGCAGCACCAATGCAGCCACGATGGAGTAGTAAACCTCCCCGACTCGCAGACGTGCCACCAATAGATCGCCATAGACCCAACTGGTAGGCATGCTCACGGCCACCTCGTGCGAGCCGATACGGACCGAAACACCCGGATCAATCAAAGACCTCCTGAGATAAAGCCGGGTTCTTCTATCTGAGAGGCGAGGTACTTCTTTCTTGCACAGGTCTTTCCAGTTTCATTGATAAAAGCACATCAAAGTAATACCTTCCAATCATTCAAAGGTCTTCAATGCGATGCGATTCTGTGTCTATTCGGTCGTGTGGGAGTTCGGTGGATCGAGCTGTGTCGTTCCATCATCGTCCCATCACGAGCCTGCCATCCGATGCCATGAAATGACATTTGCAACACACTCACAAACTAGACACACACAGTATAGTATAGGTACATCATACAGTACAGTACATTATCATATAGTATAGTGTGTAGGTGGATCATCATAATCATCATACAGTGTTACAGTATAGTATATCATCTATCACTCGCATATAGTTAGGTACATCATCATGCATCTCAGGCAAACCAAGACACTAGCCATCTGAAGGTGAACGTGTACCGCTGCAAACCTCAGCGCAAGGCAACAGTCTACTTCAAGACTTAAGACTGGACCTGATGCAAAGGTTGCCGACTTTGCTTTCATGAAGGGTTGTAGGATTCGACGAATTGAACAAGAGGAGCATAAGCATGATGGAACACAAAGAAACACTTAAACACCAGTGTCTTGCTTGGCAGAATCAAGCAAAGACCGGCATGTCAAGCATGTTGCTTAGGCTACGAAAAGCACTGGTATACAAGAGATATGGTAAGGTGCGCGTTTCGCTGGGTTTCGCCATTGATTTATATACAGTAAATATCAGTAAATGTATGTGAACTATGAACTTCATCCAAAGCTCCAGCCTACGCTGCTATGAGTTACTCCCAAGAAAAATAAACCATAGGGGCCTACGGGAGCCTTCCTACCTAGGGTGCTCAGGTTCGCAATGTTTTGCACTTCCTGTTGAAACCACTGGATGCCGATGTACAAACAAATGGTTGCCAACCAAATTCACTTCGATTGAAAAGGACATTACTGGGTCCTGACTTACTGGGTCCTGTGGGTCCGGGTCCACTCGTAACTCCTCCTCCCAGTCTTGAGCCATCCAAGACTCCTTTGATCAGAACTCTGCAGACCTCAGACCTCACACAGGATTCAAAGGCCTCCTCGCTGCCGAACCACAAGCGGATACATTCAGTGATGATCTCCCTGTCACACATGATCGTATTGCCCGCTTCATTTAAATGGTTGGTTCGGCAGCAGTGAGAATCGGCGTTTTCCATCGAGAAGTTCTTGAGCTGACTGCAGCATTCATCAATCCATCGGAAATAGCCACGCAAACAATGGATGCCGATCACACAAATGCACAGAACCACCAATGTCACTGCTAGAATCGTCTGCACCCGGCCACCATAGTTGAGGACAATGCCTTGAAGTGAAGCGACTGGTTATATATCAGAAAACAAAAGAGATGGCTTGTGTTTGGTTACTGAACAAGATTGAGACACTGGGCTGCTGAAGAGCCTAGATACTCATGTTGATCATTGTCGCAGAAAGAAAGATTGCAACCGCCGTTGGACCCAAAAAAGTAGGCAGGATGATCAAGCAGGAAGATAATCCAGCACGATCTCCATGACTTTTGAGAAAGCCCGCAATCTCAAAGATCGTCCAAAGCCTGGGAACAAAGGAGTTGGCTGTGTGTGTTTTTTTTCACTCGTTTGTGAATCATGTCAAAACCTCAAAGCTACAAGATGCTACAAGGGTAGATGCAAGGGGACCTGTAAAGTGTTTGAGCAATTTTGAAGACAGCCTAACAGCATGTGTCCTCAACATGCTGCAGACTCACTGCAGACCCCATGGGCCCTGCACCTCGTAATGTAGCTCGGCTCAAACAAGACCAGCATAGTTTCCGAATGCTTCATAATCCCACCAATACTCTGGATTCCGGCGGATTTGAGCTCTTGGTCTCTCTGATGAATGCAAATCCGGCCAAAGAAGACGCGCGATGAGGAGGGCTGCCAAAGAAAAAGCACCAGGAGCGTTCCAAGGCATCCAGCAACTAACCCCCAAGGGCCAACCTCATATGCTACACCTTCCACTGGAAACACTCTTGGATATCCGGGGAGCAGTCCTAAAGCAAATAGACCCATCCCCAATAAGGCCGCACACATGCCAGCCGCCACGGCTGCACAACCATTGTACACGACCAAGAGGAGTAAGATCTTCGTCCAAGCGGTTGCATGCCAGGAATGGCTCCAAAAGCAATTCACCTGGTGGCGATTGCTAAACATCTCCGGTGCTGTTGAGCTTGAGTCTTGTGTGTACAACGGAAACAACATATGCTATGACCATTGCTACTACAGTAGGTTGGAGAACATCGCTGTTGATTAGGTTGGAAGCCATTGCTATTAGGTTGGACATGTTTTTAAGACCGATCGATTATCAAAGCACTTCTGCCTTTTCGGTTGTTGAGCTCAAGTGATAGATCTCACGGTCGAAGCTCTTTTCCCTCAAGGCCCGGCCGAAGAAGCGCAAAGCTTTTGATGGAACAGTCGTCCGCATGAGCTCTGGGTTCTTGAGGTTCATTTTGGAGATCTCACCTGTCAATGCAAACCGAGGGTTCTTCTGGAGGCTCTTGGATTGAAGAATCAAGATAACAAAACAATATGTTCCGTGCTTCAATGTGCAATCAAGTAGATTGAAAAGTACTTGACATGTGCACGTGTTTGCATGGTTCAAACCATGACGACACTGAACAAACCCCGCAAGTCTGGCAACATCGAAACTATCAGTCTATGCACGGCGACAACAAACCTCCCTTGAAATATCTTACTTACTTAGTTATAGATAATATATGTATATAGTATAATATTATTGTATACATCTACATGATATATATATATATATATATACAGTAGTGAACCTTGAGTGCCATGTCCAGCTTGGACATGATTGATCTCTCATGGATAACGAAACAAAACAACGCACGTGGGCTGAATTGCATGTGTGTGTGTGTGTGTGTCTGAGAGCCGTGTGAGTTTAGTCATACGCTTGCCTCTTTCACCATTCAGTCAGATTGGTTTAGTCCTCGCATGTTTGGTGATTGGGTGTTCTCACTTCCTTTGCAATTTGTTCATTGATTCATTGTGTTTATATAGATTACGACACTTTCAATGTCTGCATATGTCTGTTTCCAGCTCCAGGTAAACACCAAGTCAGCGAATCAGTGCCCCAAAGGCTTGGGGGTGAAGAAAACCAAAGGCTTGTCACGTGTCACCAACGAATTCCCGCACAATGGTCCAACTTGTGGTGAACTGTTGCTTGAACTTTCACCATTCTCGGACGACGCAGGTCGTATGATACCTCCGACCACTCCTCCGACCGTATATGGCGAACACCACTAGAAATATTAAATAGACTCACTGAAGACAAACATATATATATATAATATATATTGAAGACAAATGAAGATCGAGAACCACCATATCGATCATGTTAAAGCAGCCAAATATTCCAGTCCTACTAGCACAGTCCGGCTTTAGGAAGGCCGTATGAGGCTAATCAAAGGTGTGTTTCTTGGTGGCGGAATGCAAATCTGGAATGCAATCAAGATTTGGGGCTGATTGCATTGGGAATTTGAAGCTTTTGATGACTCATGACTGAGCAGCATCTCTTTCATTCTGCAAAGAAAAAATGTAAAAAGGGCATGCTGACCACTTCATGCCTTGCCTACACCAACCACACTTCTGGGCCTTTCCCCCGTCGCTCAGAAAACATGTTTCGGCTGACCACGACGAAGGATGGAAAAACGGTCCAGACCATGGGGTCGACCAAGTCACTGGCTGCGTCCTGTATTGGCAGCTTGAAACAGCAATCCTCTTCTTCTTGCCATTCGGGCACCTTGTCTATACTGATTGGAGGATGCTGCAGCTGCTCCAAGTGCGGTGCCATGGCAAGGAACTAGGAGTGGTCGACCACAACGTGGCAAGTGTCAGAGCAGCTGATGATGAAAGTTCATGGCATCCCCTTTGCTAAGCTCCTGTATAGTATTTTTCCCAACTCATTACAGTAACATCCATAGAGGGTTTGGTTTGACTGGAACAACCTCTGAATCAGGCGAAAGGACACAGCAAAAAGCCAATGCAACAGTGCCACAATCCATTTCAAGCGCTGTGTCAGTCAGCCAGGAGAACAGGACACGTTCCTATACCTACTCAGTTGTTGTCCATTTCACAGAATGAAAGGCTGCATTGGGATTCTCTCCACAGTTGTGCGTGTCAAGGAATGGCCTGTCTTCCTAGTGATATCTCTAAAGTCCTATGACAGGGGCATTAAATTAACCTGAGGCCGCTGTAAGACACTAATCATTCATCACTGTAGCTGTAACGACAGCAGAAAACTCCCAGGTGCTCAGCTTTTGGTGCCAAGTCTCTTTCTTCTCAGTACATGCATCTGGGTGGAACGAAGTTGTTGATAGTGAGGAGCTGGAGCTTCTTCAACCGGACGTAGACCCCATAGACCCAAATGCTCCATTCGGACCCTCCGTTCAGCTGGGGGGCAAACTATATAGTGGGTCGATCTGTTCCATCCATTTGGGACCTCCTGGGAATGTTCGGAGCGTCAGGGGAGTCTACTTGGGTGTGTATTGGAATAAGGAGATCCTGCTAACCGCTCAAAAATGTTCACTTTGACCAGAAAACCAGAAGTCTTCGGAGGTCTCCCTATTTCAATAGCACATCCACATGGCCTCTTTACAGACTCTTGCGACCTTTGGATTTGACCGGTCCGCGCGGTCCGCAGGCGGTGACTGCCCCGACAGGCGAACCGGAGTCCGAATGGCTTGGCGTTCGAACACGAGATGCCACACCGGTGAAGCCACAGTCTGCGTTTCTCGGCTCCGTCTACGGGCGCGTTCGCTTAGTCATGCGAAAGGCCCGCGAGCGGACCCATGGCAACAGGGCGATGTCCGATAGCAAACGCCGGCGCGAGCGAGTGTGTTTCGCCCGAAGCAACGGCAAAAGGTCGCACGGAGCGCTCTTTAAGGCGCCCAGGCTCGGCAAGCCCGGCAGCCCAGGCAGTTTGAGCTTCGGCAGCTTGGGGAGGCCTGCTCTGAAGGTGCTGTAAGATGGAGCTCTGGGTAAATCAAAACACAGAATTGGAACAGGGGGTGCATGGTTGCACAGGCTAGATTGTGAGACAGGAAACTATAAGATTATCAAATTCTATTTAGTAATTAACACATGTATATAACATTAACATTGAGTTTGGTAATATGTAAATTATCTCATATATGATTCAGTGACCTGCAGCTTTGAGTCTATTTTTTGGTTAAGAAGACCTGCTTTCATGTCACGTGTTATGTCATTTATGGCGTGTTGAATGACGAATCTGATACTATAGAAAGCAAACAAAAGAAACATTCCAAACACCAATTATGGGAACTGGTAGAGTGAAGTGAGTCAAGGAATGTCGATGATTGTAGTCTGCCACACCCCTTTGGCCAGTGTCTATGGCCAAAGCAATATGACATCATCCCAATTCCTGGGATTTGGTGAGACTCTCTTCAACGAGATCACCTGCGCAAACACAAGTGCAACGTGGTTAAAGCATCAGGAATCTGTCGTGAGAGTGGTTAGTTTGGTGACTTATACAATCATTACACACAAAACACTCAACACTAAACAAATTGGGACCAACGACACCATAGAAGATCAGAATTAGCACACACATATTACATGTCTACAAATCAAATATCCCCACCCCACACATGTCAGATCTGCAACGACGGAAATGCATCAGCAAAGCAACACGGCAATGGTTCAAAAGATCCGCCCGCCGCCATGCCCGTCGCGACGCCCGGCGCCGGCCTGGAATATCCGGCAAGAAATCGCCACCTGGGCGAAATGGCTGGCTATGATGTCATTCGTTCATCGACCGGCTAAATCGTGGATGATGCCTATAGATCTTCCTACTGTGCCAAAGATCTTCCCGACTGGGGCAGGTTTCGACAAGGCAAACATGTTGCTTTGCAAGATCCTTGTGGATGACTGAGAATCTTGGGGAATGAGTCCCGAATATCAACTGCCCTTCAAAGGCCACGAATGGCTGGACCGTAGGGAGCAGCCCGGACAGCGGAGTTAGCCCGGCAGTGCAGTCTTCGTGGCAAATGCTCTAACCAAAAAGAGCACATATGTGCAAGAAAACTGCACTGCCAGGAGTGCCCCTTCTGTTTTATAAGCAAATGGGACTTGACAAATGCACTTCTTGTTTCCCAATCAAGGTCGCCTGAATGATCGGGTGAATGACCCGTTTGTCTAAGGCAAAAAAAACACCATCGGTGGGTGGGACCTTCAATCTCAGCCATCTGCTTCATGTCAATCCTTGTCCCACACTTCCCTTTGGATAATGGTGCTTAATTTTGGATCAGGCAAGCAGGAGAACAGGCAGAATCAAACAACCTCAGAGTCTGCGCAACCGAAAACCGACGCAACAAACCCTTCGCCCAGAGAGCTCTCGTCGCCCAGAAGCTGAGATCCGGCATCTTCAAGGACCCCGCAACTGCCGAGTGACGTTGGATGCAGTCGCAGGGAGTGCCGTGGATGGAGTCATTTGTTCAAGCTCGTGGCTCGTGGATGGATGAACGACATCAGGACATCGAGAGGTCGATCAAATGGACACGTCTCTCATTACCAGACTCTCACTGCACACCACATGATTACATACAAGCTGTCACACTTTAATTCCCAGAGCTTGCAAGGATGATGTTCCACTCCCACTTATGATGTTTGCACAAAGACTCAATTCAGCGTTCCACCGGATGCTTCATTCGTCCCGCCCCATGCCCAGGCCACCAATACCCGCACCGTGGAGCCTCGAATCACCTTCTTCATCGTTTGCAATAGCAGCTTGATGGCTTCTGGCCGAGCAGCGGCGCGCTTGGTGCGGGACCCAAAGCGTGAAAGAACATACGGCAAACGCTCTTGGTGTGTTAGCGCCTTATTGGGATGGTGATGTTCAGCTTTGTGGCCATAGTTGATCAGAGTTGTGGGATGGACAAACGCTGGAACTGAATGGATCCAAGTTCCAAAAAGGCAGGTGTCACAAGGTGACATGGCAAGGCCGTAGCAAAAACACATGAAATATGAAAGTCCTAACCAGGATGCCAGGTGGAAGAGGTTGACATTGAACAAACGTTCTCCTCCAAGCCAGTAGCTGCCCAGAGAAGACAAAGTGGTCTTTGGTGAAGGCATCTGGTATACAATATCATCTATATATACCTTCCCAAAAATGCATTAAACGGTTTAAGCAACAGAAATACACCCATGCCCCACGAACCCGTTTCGTGTTCGGCGCACTGATCATCGCTTTGATGAGCCCGAAGAGCAGTACCGCCGCCGCAATGGCTGCAGCAATGATCTGGCCAGATCCGGTGCTCGGGTCCCTGCATGATCTCGACGTTAGCATGACATGGTGACCAATTATGAATACTTCTCCGAAATTATGACGGCTCCTGGCCTTACTACTAGGAGCAACGACGCTACTAGGGGCTCCT